CACAACTCTCTCTCGCTCTCTGAAATTTTCAGAAATGCACTGGCACACAACCACTCCATCAATTCCCTCACCCCTCACCCCTCACCCGTCTTTCCAATTTTCTCCTTCTTCTATCAATATCTCACAGAACAAACACTAACTCCCTCAACTCTCAACAGCTCTCTCCCTCGGCTCTCTACATTTTCTGTACAAAACAAAACTCTACACACTATCATCCACAGGCTCTCTCATCTTTCACTCTCACAGATACACTTGCACATCACTCCAATCTCAACAAGTCTCTTGATTTCCCCCAACACCCTCTCAGAAGTCACACACAAAGAAAAAAAAGAAGGTGAAGAAAACAGAGGAAATCATTGAGTTTCTAAACCACCATCACCTACCATTGATCAGATTGCCTTTTTTACTACAAAACAAGGTGATATTCTTTTTCCCATTGCTATGTCTGAAGACTAAAGTTCTAGATTATTTATACTTTTCATTTTTTTTTCTTTTTCTTTCTTTCTTGCTTGTGGTTGTAAGTGGAAGATTTCACACGAGTTTCTTCTAATTCTTGTGATGATTTGTTGGTGAAGATATGGGGTCTAAATTTGCCCAAGTTTCATGGATTATGTAAGCCAAAATCCTACATTCCAAGTGTTTGAAAAAATGTCTAGATGGAAAACCGAAGTAGAGAGGTAAATTTTGTGTATTTACTTTGTTAAAATAGATTATTACAACTAATACATGGCCCAAAAATATTTGTTAATTAAGTTTTTGATTTTTTTTCATAAGTCCAAAAGGCAATGAAATGGATTTTTTTATTTGAGGTTGTCTTGTTTTTAATCTATCACATTATTGTTGTTTTTTGTTCATTTAAGGTTGTTTTTGTATTGTAGAAATCACAAGGGTCGTTTTGGTATTGGTTTTGTGAATTTTGGTGTTAATTTGAATGGTTTTTGACAAACGAAGATCTTGCTATAAATTAGCAATTTGGGCTATTATTGTTTTTTTTTTTGTGAAAAATAAGCCTAAAAATGTGATCTACGTGAAAAACAAAGTTCGGGATGGTATTTCGGTGAAATTTTAGTGACCAAAAAAAATGGGCAGCGACAAGTGACTTGTGGCTCGGAGAAGCTTGAAGCCAGCTAGAGAGAAAAAAGAATAGAAAGGGGAAGAAGAAGAAGAAAAAAAAAGAAAGAAAAAATGGATGGGCTTTTTTTATTATTTTTCTGGGCTAGTGTTTTATTTTATCCTTGGGCTTGTGACTGGGTTTATGAGTTAAGCCCAATGTATTCATTGTTTAAGTTTGAATAGTTTAAGTTGGGCTTGCTTGTTCTTTTAATGAGATAAATTGCAATTTTTTTGGCAAAAGGTATGTGTGGCCCGAACACTAATGGCCCAAAATGTTCATTGTATATTCCTATAATCAGAAAATCATATTGCAATTTGGTTCCTAACCTTTTGTGTAATTACATTGTGGCCTAAAAATATTTTATTTCTTTCATCTAAGCCGTTAATTTAATTTTATGTTAGCCCTTAAAATTTATCTTTATGTAATTTTAACCCTTAATCTTTTCAAAAAAATTACATATTGACCCAAAAATTCCCTAATAATCTTTTGATGGCTCAATTATAATTGTTTTATTTCTTTAATTGTTAATTATGTTTCTTTTGCATACATTTAAATTGTAATTTTGAGTGTTTTAAGTTCATTTGCAACTTTGACATGATAATATGAATCTAGCACATTTTTTGTGCTCTTTTAAAGTATTTTCAATTAAATCGGCGCCTTGATCCTTTTGTCGATTTTTGAGTATGAAAAGGACAACATTCCCTCATTTAATCACTACTTCAAAAGGGATGTGCTCCTATTATCCTTTACATTCTGATTATGTGATCTAATGTGTTCTTATATGTTTATATGCTTTTATGTGTTTTCTTTTATTTATTTAGTTTAAGTTCATATTTATTTTTATGTTTATTTAATTTAAATTTTGTCATTATTAGGGGGTATTTAATATCCAAGATATAATAGATAGGTAATAGTTTTCCTTTTTACAAAAATTGTAATTATATTGACAAATGTAATATATAAGGCAGATAGGTTTATTTTATTATATTTTTTATTTTGGATTGTAGTTAGGTCCCTAAATGTAGATGGGGTAGATAGGTTCATTTTCTTATACTTCTCTTTTAGATTATAATTAGATTCCCCATTGTAATAGAAAGGTTTTGTATATTTGTGTTGTGACGACCCCACCTCCCCCTAGGGCGTACCAGAGGGTTCGGCGGGCCGCCTGCCCAGCTCTCGCCGGGACTCAGTCGTTCACTACAATCCTCAAATATATTACAAGAATAAACCTCAAATATTACAATGTAAATCTCCAATATTTACATATAAACAAAACGAAGTTGTCGATTATGCATAGTATGGTTAACTGACATGTTTGTGAGATTCTGGTTCTATAATTCGAAATTTTGACCTAGATATACTACGAACTGGACTAAGTGGTCTTCATCAAAGTTGTAACTCTCTGTCTTAGCTTCGAAGCGGTATAAATTGCACCTCAATCCGATAAGCGTAGCCTCGTTTGTGTACATAAGGTTGCTCTAAGTTTTGGATTGTTATTATGTTTCTTTCTTGTGGTTTTATTTCGGATGTGTTTGAGGTATGACTGAGTCCCGGCGAGAACTGGGCAGGCGGTCCACCGAACCCTTTGGTTTGCCTTAGGGTGAGGTGGGGCTGTCACATGAAATGCATTTGATCTTTTGGATAAATGTAAATATGTGGATAAATTTTCAAGCTGTCACATAATGTTTGTATCATAATAGATGAAGAACAAAGATTTAGAAAGTTTTCTCTTACACTACAGAGAAAATGGATAACAGTGAAAATTCAAGCCGAGGTCGCAAATCGAGAGGCAACAGAGGATTAAACTTAGGTAATGAAACAATGTATATTTCCTACCATTATTAAACCATTCTTTCCTTTTTTTTACATGCTGTATATATGCGAGTAATATTTATTCTTAGACAAATATCATTCATTCTAATGGCAATTAATTTTTGTGGATCTTTTAGATTTTGTTGTTTATCTATATTCTGGTAAATTTTCTTTCCATCTTAAGTTGATAGCTACTCCTTTTATGTGCTTTTGTGTTGATATATGCATATAAAAACTGACATGTTTCTTCTTTGACTTTGTGTGTGGCACTTAAAATGTTCAGGGATAAATTTTAGGACATGAAGTTGTCCAAAAATAGATAAGAGAGCCTATCTCTCCAAATCTTAATTTTTTAATTAAGCTTTGACTACGGATAAATGTAGCTAGAATAGTTATTTTTGATTTGCTATTATCATTATCTTTTCAAATCTTTTTTGATTGATTTTTTTAATCCCTTTCAATTTAGGGAATCTTTTTGTCTACTTTACTCTTTAGAGATAATCTGATGAGGGGTAGAGTTTTTTGGAAAATATTTTAAATATTTTTTTATAGATTTAATTGTATTCTTGATAAAACTTTAATTCTTGTAAGAAAAAGTTTAAGAAACCTTTGTTTAGGCATTAAAATAAGTTTTTAGGAATTTAAGAAAAATATAATTATTCTTTTCATGCATCCAAGAAAAAATATACTCGTTGCTTTTTTAGGCATTAAATATATTAATTATTATTGGAAATGTATTTTAAATAGAATTATTAACCTTTTAAAATGTTTTTTTTCTACTTTCAAATTTTTATTTTTTAATTGGATGCATTAAAAGAAAATCTGAATATTTACTTCATGTTCACATTAAATATAATCTTATCTTTCCAAATTAGTTGCAACATAATATACCTTTTTAGCCAATCACAACCGTTATCTGAATATAAATCATCTATACCTTTGCGAATAGTGGAGTATATCAATTTTTGCCACGTGTAAAGAGGAACAAATTTGATTTTCATTAATAGATAAAAAAGGATGATCATTTTTGTCATTGCTTCAATTAAGAATTCAACTTTATTGTGTATTATCTTAAGGAAACATATCTCAACTATTCCATATGATAATATTTTAATTGTTAATATTAATTAATTGAATAAGGGTTTGGCCCTGAACCTAAAATACATATAGAAGCAGATCATTCTCCAGTGTTTGTCTTATTTTAGGTCATTGATTCCATGAAAGCCATAATTCATAGAGTTGAAAGAAACTATAACATTACAGTGCTAAATTGATATGTGTTAACTTGTTTTTAACTTCTAAATATCATTTGACTAGGTCGAGGCTCCGAAAATTAGATCTTCATTTCAAATCTCCTACCTCCCTGTATTCTCAGTTTCATCCCTGCTCCACCAAAAAAAATTCTAACATCATTATAGCACATGCACTCTAAAAAGAAGCCTGTTTTCAAGCTCTAGAAGGGGATACACTTGTAAGCTTCACTTACTCACTTAAGAGACCAATATCATGCTTTGCATTTTGTAAAAAAATTATCATCTTCTAGTAATCACATTGAACGCAATCTTGGATTTGCTTAGTACTTCACTTCTGGAAGATTCCGTGTTCAGTTTCAAACTCTAAATCCAAGGCATCGTTACTTCATAGCCACTCATTGCTCCTTGGTTTACAGTAATGACAATTGGCATGAAAACGAAGGAGATAATTTTTTTGAAGTTTTGTTTTGTATCTTTCACAAGAATAATGCATGATGCATGCTACTAATTCCAATACATTTGGAAAAGAAGTTTGGGCATTGAGATGTTTGATGCATTCACATGATACATATTAGCTTATATAGTTTTGGATTATTTAAACATATAGTTTCATAATTTCTGCCAATATTTGATATATACTGCATTGTATCAATGATTATATCGATACATAAAACAAACAAATTAAAAATAAAAGAAAAAAGTTAATAAGATTGAACTATTAAAGACTTTTAGTTGTATAGGGAGTAAACAAATAGATAGAGGGCAGATAGTTAAGATGTTTTTCATTACACACGTCTTTTATATTCATTTCAACTTTGGTGATGCGAGAACCTGGAGATGCTGCAAATAATGTGACTAGAAGCCCCGGTAGTGCTCATGTCAACAACAACAGCAATGTCAGGATGCCAATGCCACACCCAAGGCAGGATCCTGAGCATTTGTTTACAATAACTAACATCTGTCGCATCATGAGGCATATCTTCCTACCCAATGCAAGGGTATTCAAGGAGGCTAAATCTACCATTGAAGAATGTGTTTCAAAGGACATTAACTTTATCACTATGGAAGCAAATGAACGCTATCACAGCGAGCACTGCAAGACGATCACTGCTAAGAATCTTACATATGCTCATGCAAATCTTGGATTTGATAGTTATGTTAGTCCTATCACTCTTTACTTAGAGCGATATCGTCAAAATGAAGCTGCTCAAAATACCATGCATGGCGATGCTTTTGAGAGGCACACGACTATTTTTCCGAATGTGCACACACAAGGCCATCCTTCCATGCTTGCTCCTGCACCATCTCATTCACCTCCAATTAATTCAACTTTTCAAGTTGGTGCTGATGAGCAAGCATTCTTTAATCCAACCCTGATGAGCAAGGAATTCTACTTTCAAAATTCTCCTGGTGCTAGTCATGGCGATGGCTTTGACGTTGCTGGGCTTTCGTCAAATGCTGAGTTTCCAAGGACATTTTTTCCCCACGATTTTCATCCAGGGCCTACTCTTCCACATGGGTCTCATCCTCATGGTCTAGGCCTTGATGGGCAGTAAGACTGTAACTTTTGCTTTGTGTGTTTTGTATGCCATATTGTCAAGACACTACCATAAGTGCCACGTTGTTCTTGTTATTTATTGTATTGTTATTATTGTTGTTGCTACTGGACGTGAGACATTATGATGTTTGAATATTAAAACTAAGTTTACATCCTCTTACTTGGTAAGTTATTATTGTTGTTACTCTAAGACGTGAGATACTATGATCTTTGAGTATTGAAAATTGGCGTATCTTATTTTTTGAATTTTTTAAATATAGTAATTGGCATACTTATCTTAAATGTGTATTATCTCATTTCAACATATAATTTTGATTTATAAGTTAAATTGTATTTTGCATGATTATGGGCCATATAAAAAAAGTTATAGCACTTGATTTGAGTTAAACAAACAAGCGATATCACTAATTAATTTCCAGTATGAAGATAATATACTAATACAATTTTAAAGTACAAAATACATATTCGAATATATTCTTCTATTTCACAATGAGGTATTTTGTTCTTTTTAAGTTAGTTGAGTTTATAATTACAGTAATTTTAGAGGTTGTAAATTTGTTTGGTGTGCGAAATACTTGGGAAACTTTTAGTAACAAGAAAAGTGTTTGAAACTTGGAGGAAAATGGGGGTGGTATCCATGAATTTGGAGGAAAAAAGAGGACATGCCGACTCACATGATTTGAACACTAGACATCTATCATAACTTGGAAAGCTCCCAACTTTCTTTGTGTCAGTTGAAGGCTTTTATATTTTCGTTGATTCTCTCAATTCCTATGTTCTTCATTCTCTTTTCAATACTTTCTTTTCCTTTTTTCGGGAAAAATGCTGGGGGTACCATTTCAATTTTTTACCAATAATATTTGAAATACCAATTTTATAAATCATACATTGGAAGCATTTCTAAATATATTTTGCCAACTTTATAAATGAAATACCAATTTTATGCTTAGGGTCCCTGGCTGCCACAAAGTCAAAGTAATATTTTTTCAATTACATCTAATTCATAGTCGCTTTTGCAAATCTGATCGTATAGATTTCTTCTAAAAAAATCAAGAAAACTAAATGGACTTTGTTTTGTAATATTCTTTTACTCGTATGGTTAACCTCGACTTTTTTGCTATTTACCTAGAGACTCCGCATGTTGACGGGCCAAAATATTAGTATTCAACTCATTCTTTTTTTTGGGCCTCATAAGGATGTGATATCAGTAAAAGCCTACTACTAATTTGAGCCCTAGGCTAGTCCAACGGGACAAAATGAGCACCTAACTTTCTTGGTGTTTGTTCAAGGCCTTTATAATTTTATAGAAGCTCTCGATTGCTAAAGTCCTTAATTCTCTTTTCAATGCTATAATTTCTCTTTCCCTTTGATATTCTCTCAAAAGATTTATTATCGTATTTTGTTAAGTCTTATTACTCCTACTCAAACTATATCCCAACAAACAAGGCAAAATCAAATTGATACTTATTCATTAAAAAAAGTATTATAATCCAAATAATAAATTTTTATTATATGGAAGTGAAATGGTAGGTCAATAATTTCGAAGATATATATATTTGTGAAATATTGACAAATAAATATTTATAAGTTTATCTAGTTGGCTTTGCATTTTTTAATTAAATATGTAAATGTGAAGCTTAGAGTGTTTGCATTCTTTGGCAAACAATTATCCAGCTTCTGCAAAGACATAAAAATATAATTTATAGGAAGATTGACAATCGTTGATCCCTTAAACTTTTTATAATCTACTTTGAGCTCTTGAATAATAAACTACTGCATTCAAATATAACCAATTGCTATTCACCAATTCAAATATTCAAGTCATAACCTTAAATTGGAAAGATGTAGGGGTTTAATGTACAAATGTAGATGTCTACAAAAAAGAATAAGTTTGGTACATTTTATTCTTCCATATGTACACGATTATTTCATTCCATGAAGTAATCGTGTATGTAAAAATATTTTTTTTTTGTTTTTTAACCTAACCATGTGTGTATGTAAAAATAAAAACAACAACAACAACAATAATAATAAGAAAAAAGAAACTGATTATGGTCCTTTGCACAATAAACTCCTCTCAGTCTTCTAAAGTCACAAATAAATACTTTCAAATCAATTTTGGTCTTCTTGCTCAACCTTCCTCCTTACCCTCCACCCTATCCCATCCCAAAAAAAAAAAACTAATTTCTTGATTTCTCGACACATTGTAAGAGCTCTTAATCTTCCAACAACTAAATCAAGGCCACACAAAGGAAAAAAAAAATGAAAGGAAACACATACAAGTTCTTCTTGATTTTCTTTTTTTTTTTTCCATTGGGTGGAGGCCAAAAGATTGGTTACAAAGATATTACTTTACCATACAATACACCCATAAAGTCCACACTTAACAAAGTTTTCATTGGGTTCGAGGGTCAGAGAAAAATGTTATACTAGGTTATAGGGCAAAGCTCATCTTTGCCAACACATTAGCACAAGAATTTCCTTCATGCCAAAAGAAAGAGCTCCTGATTTTTCAACAATTTGTGAGAACTCTTGATTTTTAGGCTAGTAATCAAGCTATTCTTAGTCATTCGCAAAACAGGCTCTTTTTTAGTTCTCTCAAGTCACGAGTAAATACTTCCAACCTAGTTCTTGTCTTCCACTAGCCCAAAAAAGAAAAAAGAAGAATAGCAACCTAATTTCTTAATTTTCTGAAACATTGTAAGCGTTGTGTCATTTTCCACTACTAAATTGGGCTACTCAAGAGCTACTCCAAAAGAAAAAGGAAAGGAAACCAAAGTACAAGTAAACAAGTACTTGATTCCTTGATGACAAGTAAGAGCTCTTAGCTGTCAATCGTATTACCACTAAAAAAGGAAGAAACACAGTCGAAAAAATTTCTTGACTTTTTGATGACTCACTATAGATCTTGATTTTTTGACTACCCTATTGGATTACTAAAATAATCATGAAAAATACAATTAATCAAACTTAATGATTTTTGCACCATTAGCAAGGGTTTGATTTTCTAGCTACTAAATTGATCTACACTAAAAAGATTAAAAATGCAAAAATAACAAACAAGAGAACCGAAGAAAAAGAAGCAAACCTTTTGATTTCTCAACAACTAGTGAGACTTCTTGATTTTCCAACTATTGAATTATGCTGCTATAAAAGAACAAAAGCAAAATATGAAAAAGATAAAGAAAGCAAACTTCTTAACTTTTTTAGCAACTCACCAAGATTTTGATATTACGACTATTAAATCAAACTGCTATATAAACCATTGGCAGCTTAAGCAAACAATATATTACTAATACTATTTCCACCTTTCTTAATATGAGTGAAAAAGCAATAAAGAAACAAGGAACAAAGAATTGGAACAAATTATCCCAACTTCACTTCTTTAGGCTGATAACATAGATCAAAGAAAATTAATTGACCCTTCCAATAACATTTTTAACCAATAGTCATCTTTAATTCACATGATACAAATGTAGTCACTTAAATATTGGTCGGGTATAAGACTTCAAAGAATAATCAATTTCAAACATTATGGAGAATAACATATATTGAAATAAAGCATTTATTAAGCACACAACTTGTAACTCTTCACCATTAGAAAATAACTTTAACAGTGCGCTTTTCGGCAAGCTTTGCAAAAAAAAAAATTCAAACTTCTGCTTGCATTATAAACATAATTTTCAATCACCTTTTTATCTCACATACAGTGCATTACAACAAGTGCTATAGTATTACTTTTGATAATTTTTTAAAACAATCTCCTATCCGAATCAACCCGGTAGTATAAAACTAGCCATAGAGCATAACATTTTCAAGTAAGCATAACTAAATTATTTTAACAAAATAAATGCAATTGGAAAAAATTAAAGAATGTAATATTCAATATTTAAATTGTCTTTTTTTTGTGAATTCAGTTTGCTCTCACGAACACAAATTAAACACAAACAAAATGGTTTTCTTTGCTCTAAGAATACCTTTAATTTATATTAGTATTGATATTTATTGTCTTTCTATTAGATATGGGTGACTTCAACCATTTTAATGTCATTTGAGTTGAATTTTTCAGCTTTCTTATTAATTTTTTGTTATTCTTTATGTCATTATATGATATACCTTTTTAAGAGTATTAATGAGTGTGACAGCCCCACCTCACCCCAAGGCAAACTAAAGGGTTCGGCGGACCGCCTGCCCAACTCTCGCCGGGACTACGGATCTGGAACAAACGGAAACCCTACCAAACGCTCAAAGAAACTTCGAGAAGGTAAACATTTAGAACCCAATTGAGCTGAACTTTTAGATACAATCAATCTTTGGTACAACATTCCCATGAAAATCAAAATGAAATGGAAGAGCGGCTGCCACGTCACAATCCAGTCAGAACCTAATCGAATACAGATAATGCTATATAACTCTAGAGAATAACATTTCCAAACCAAATAAAATGCATGAACATGATTAAACAATTTTTATTTACATACATTTGTAATTTATAAATCAAAAGGGAAATATTTGGATCAAGGTACATTTCGGGTTTTCCAACTCTCGAGGAGCTATACAAAAGAGGATTTATACTAGCTCATTTCATTCTTCAAAATAGCGAAGTTCCAAAAGATGGTTCCCTGCAAGGAAAATAAGGATAATGGAACGGGGTGAGATAGAAACTCAATGAGATACCAAAAGTATAAACAGTAGAAATCATGAGAAAACAATTTTAAGCCACATATACACATCAAATAAAAGAAATGAACGAACACCACAATTTAAAAGATACAAGTGGCTCTCAGGAGCCAAATCCCCATTGCAATACTTGCTCCAACCTCGTTGACCCTCTGTCAACGTTTAATGAAACACACATGTCCGTAGACCCCTCTTACACCAAAATCCCGTTCACCAAACATACCACTTACCGGACCCGAATGCCAAACAAGAATAGGAATGGTAAAACTCGAGTATACCGAAAATCCAGAGTTTTCAATACCCATAGATTCCCTAGGA